AGAGAGAGAGAGAGAGAGAGAGAGAGAAAGAGAAACAGACAGACAGACAGAGAGACGTGCGCGCAGATTTTATCCCCAACAAGCTGACGACAGTACCACAAATTAATTATTTATAGTATATCATTGTGTCTATCTATAAACAAAGAAATAAACATAAGTGAAAAGGTGTAACAAAGAATTGGAAGCAGAAGGTGGTTTTGTGTGTGTGTGTGTGTGTGTGTGTGTGTGTGTGTGTGTGTGTGTGTGTGTGAGTAAGGATCGCTTTTAGTCTGTGTGTGAACAATAGAGGCGACAGTCCCGAGACAACGCCAGTAGGTTGATCCTTCAGCGTGGGAAATAGCGAATCACTTCCACTGATACCCTCCCCTGATCAAGATAAAACAAATCAAAGAAAAAGATGACAGAATTGGTAATGAAATTTTGTAGAATATCTCTAAGAACATCCTGTACGCAGAAAAATAGTATGATGATGATGATGATGATGATGGAGCCTTATTGGCGAAACGTTGAACTGTGAAAAAAATATTTTTGGAAATACAACAAGGTCTTAACTGTTTTAATACCTTCTTTATACAATGATGATGATGATGATGATGATGATGATGATGATGATGATGGTGATGATGATGATAATGGATATACATACATCATATTTGTACGTCAAGTTTGTATAGTTTATCAGTATGAATGACCAAAAATAGAAATGATCAACTAAAATAAAACAATAAAAGTAAAACATAAACATTACGCTTGATCAAAGTGGCGTCAGCTGAAATTCTACAAATTTGACCCCTGTGTCGATTCACGGCTCATCTCGGATTGCGAGAATCCATCCTTCTTTTTATGTTTAATCAACTGACGAAGATCTCCGGGAAAGCCAATATGACATTTGCCGAAAGATGAACTCTAGTATTTGACTTTGAAGACGGCACTCGTGTCGCCCACAATTCTCTCTTCTAAAATAACTTCACTCTACATCGCACTACGGTGATAAATGCCATAGGTGGCGAAGGTATTCCGCGTATATTACAAAAGCCCAACACTGCCTATTAGAGGCAAAAGAACTACCGAATCGTTTTAAACCAATATAATTCATATGGTTATAACCTTGCGTGCTAATGGCCAGCTCCGTGAGAAAGGGGGAGAGGAGAAAAGGGAGGGTGTGGAAGAGGAGGGGGGGGGTCGGTCGCACTGACTTTACAGTCAAGAATTTCAGCACTGAGGATACGCACTTTGACCTGTTGTATGAGTGGTTGACTTGCAAACATTTTTAAAAATACCTTTATTTTTTAGAACATTGTCTGCATACAAGATAATTTAGACCATGCTGTACCCTGTTCGCTTCTGCTTTATAAAAAGCCTAAACACCTTGCCTTTTTCTTAGGGTTTTTTTTTTCTTTTCTGGAATTGTTCCCTATACAAATTTGCCCATAAAGCATACACAATAGATTCTGGAAATGTTACAAGAGCTTCGGAACCCACCATAACCTCACAAAGTGACTTTTTCTAGACAAGTCCTTGGAATTCTTAAACCGCTGCGCCACGTATTTAATTTTGTGCTGAAGAAAAGACTTGATATTTCTTCCCGATGCCAGCTTTTCTCTTGTCTAAATTTGCCAAAACGAAATATGTCTGTTTGTGTGCTAGTTATGTAGATGAAATTCGTTCGACATCTTCGTAGTCGTTCTCTACTGATTTCTTTTTCTTTGAATTCACAATTTTTATTTTCCTTGAGGAAAAAAAATAATTTCACTTTAGTAAGTATACACCGTGCAAACTGTTCTCTGGCAAGTACGTGTGCGTTGTCATGTTTATTGTGAACTAAAAGTGAATAAGAACGTTTCTTTTCTTTGTTTCAGTTAACTGACTGGTCAACTGTATGTTGTTGTTTTTTCATTCAACTGATCGCCAGCACTAATTGGCATAAGAGTACTCACTGAACTCTTCACTCCTTTTAAAAATACTTTTATTTATTTATCTATTTATTCATTTCTTTATTTGTTTATTTACTTATTTGAAAAAAAAATGGCATGAGGGGTTCTCTGGCTTTTTAAACTCGAAATCTGTCC